ATCCACATATGTTGCACACTCAGAATGAGCCCATGGTACTGTATTCAAAATTGTCTTTTATGTAAATGACTGTCAGTGGTTGGGGGGAAGGGGTTCTTTTCATGAAGCTATTGTTTGTAAAGAATCTAAGATAGATCATTTGTTCAAGATGTTGCAAGCATCAGTTGCTGGGTGGTGGGTGATGGTTTCAAAGTTCCAAGCTTTGTTTTGTATTATTTTGTCATTTATGTGCATGTACTTCTCTAGATGCCTGGACCCTCCTGGATACAATATACTGGTACAGCTCTTTGGAGGGTCAAATGGGTCAAGGTGCACAAGTCGGACAAAAACCATCAACAACCTACACGCCAACGTAAACGATGGGAAAAATCATAGGGGGATTCTGAAATCATCCAGCATTTCAGGTTGGTGAATTCTTTCACTTCGGAACTATACCTGCCTGGAAAATGGCATGTGCGGCAAACCAATGAACATCTTCATTTGTAATATACACCTCAACGTTGATGACGTTCTTCTTCTCAAGCATTGATTGTTCCAGATCCCTTATGTCCAAATATATATATATGTAGGACATAAAAGTGATAAGATGTCAAGGTAAACAGCTCTATCCGTGAATTTGCAAATTGGATAAAAATAAAAGTTCATCAGAGCCGTGCTTTCGAGAGGCACGGACGAGTGTATGACCTAGATCGCCATCTACGACCCCACTTGGTGGCGTTGATCATCGTTGATCATGTTGATCCAGGTTTGGCGGAGATTTGTTTTTGTGAATCTGTCAGCACCAGAGGCTTTGTCAATCAACGGATTTTAGCCTAACAGACACAAGAATGCTAATAAAAAGAATCAAGAATCAAGATGCGTAATGTTCAAGATGTAGCCAACAATCTCAAGTGAGAATGTAATCCTAGAAAAACAAGTGGTTCGGAAGCCAGCCCAGGCCCCATGGTGAATCAACCCCTGGAGTTCACTGGTCATCATTTTCATCACATATCATCACATATCATCACATATCATCACATAACATAACTGGTTGGTGGTTTGGAACATTTTGGGAATAATAACCCCAACTGACTTTCATATTTTTCAAGGGGGTAGGTCAACCACCAACCAGATAACTATTTGGGGGGAGGACATTCCGATTTTTTTTCAGGTACCACACCCAGATCATTGGATCCCCAGGGCCTCAGGGTGCCAACCGTCGTTGACTCGACAGGTCCCGTTGAGGCCAAGGCCGAGGCGCGGTGACGACTCGCTTCCCGCGACTTCAAAAGATGCGCGGAGCTGCGGGGAGCTGGGATGGAGAAACCATCCTGCGCCAGTTGGGAACTATTGGGATTCTTGTTAAACACTGATACAAAAAAAATTGATAATGGGATGTTTACACACACACATATATATATCTCTGTTTACCACCAACTGGTGCGGGCTTTCGCATCCACAGCTGGGGTTTTTGACTGGTCTATGGTAGATCGAACTTGTTAATGGACGTTTTTGGCTACAGTAACATAGCAAACGTTGAGAGCGCTCACTTAGTAGCCGATAGTAACAAGGGTTCCAATTACAATAAGTTTGGTTGTATTCCCAGTTAGTCCAAGCGGAAACCGATCTCCTTGTTAGTCCAAGCGGAAACCGATCTCCTTGGCATCACTTTCCCACATTTGAGTGATTTTTGGAGTAGATTAGGCAAGCGCACTACCCAAGACATGATTTCAGCAGTTCCTAATTAGTAAAAATGTCATTTGCCTGATCCCAAGTCCATGTCCTGCATCATAAAAAGAGACCTGTTTGGCCGCATGACGCGCTCGAAAGATCCAAGGTAGAAAGCATGTAGGGTGTGTTCAAACCCCAAAAAGAATGTTTCAATAACAGGTCGACCCATCAATTTTGACCATTTGTTTGGGAAAAAAACGTACCAATAAAGTTGGATATGATTATATGATACCATCCCAAGTCACATACATATCAATATAACTTATAATATATATATATATTGATTTATTTACATATATATATACACACAAATATTTACATATATATATATCACATATATATATATGTGTATCAAATACATATAAATATAATAAACACACATACATATATGCGTGTGTCATATATACATGCACACACATATATATATATATATATATCATACACACACGCTTATATTTATATATATATCATTTATACATACATACATATATATGTAACAACCATATATATATATATGTGTACCATTTATACATGCACACAAATTTATTTATATATATATACTTATCGTACATATATATATATACATATGTGTGTGTCATATATACATCCATTTATATATATATATATATCATACATAGATATTTGTATATATATATACATATGTGTATCATATATATATATACATATGTGTATCATATATACATACACATATATACCCTATATATCATACATATATATATATATATAAGTGTACCATATTTACATACACACACATGTATATATATATATATATATATATCACATATACATATATATATATCATATATCATACACATAAGGTCCGGAACAAGACCAGTTACGAAACCCCTTCGTTCCATACGTCCGGTACAGCGCGGAACGTTCCATACACAATTTTGACTCATAGCCATATATATATATATTTTTAAACATACACACACATACATACATACACATTTAAAACAGGTACCGCAGGTATTACCATCCCAAGTCATCCAAAGAAGACATTTGCCCATCCAAACCATCCAACCCGAGGATTTCGCCACGACTGCCTCAAAGGTGCCGCAGTCTTAAGAAACATGACGAGTTGGTGGCGTTCCCAGCGTTCAAGCACGAAATACCACCGATAATTGGTTTAAATGGGCTTATAAATGGGCCTATGAATGGGCTAAATGGGCTTATAAATGGTGTGATGACTATATATAACTTATATAACTTTTAAGGGCCATAACATGCCATAACTGCAGTCAGTTAGAAGTGGGCAAGGGGAAGTAGAGCTAGTCCAATTGTAGGCTGTAACTTACGATTTCTGGGTGAGCCACAGGGAACTGGGTGGTTACCTGGTTGACCTTATGCGATGTCTCCTTAGCTACGAGTGGTGTGTGCTACTCCAGAGGTCTCCAACTCCCTCATGGGTCAAAGTCATCCTGGAGAGCCTTGTGGTCAGGTTTAGTGTAGTGGTGACATGTGGTGACCGGTGAAGATTGGTGACCCATGATTTTGCGCATGTGACCAGAAAATCTAGCCACCGGGCCCTGGGTACATAGATGAATGATGAATATTGGTTTAGCAGAAGCTGGCCATGCCATCGGATACCCTCAGGATCCTTCAGGTAATCAAACATGCTTTGAATGGCTGGAAAATCGTTTGAATATCAATGGTTTGCTGGAAAATCCACCATTTCAATCAGTTCCGTTCGATGATTTTCCGAGAAATCATTAGAAACCTTCATGTCGTTCGGGGATTTCCCATTGCCGCCATGATTACCAGAGGGTGCCATGGTGAGCCAAGGCCAACAGAGAGATGTTTGAATATGATTAAACAGAAGCTACATATTGATTTATACATATTTAATCATATTTATACCATGTGTACTTGTGCAAATATGAAGAAAAACCAACACTTGTCGTTAACCTCACATGTGATGCATGTGTTTGTGTTTTTGTGCACTTATGCCTTCAAGCGATTGCCACTTATATACCACTGAGAATTCAGTTTTGGGAAGTGCACGTGTGAGGAACGTATCAAGTAGTGCAAGCAAAATCTAGCAACACCGTGCCAGATCATGGTAACACCGTGCCAGGTCATGGTGACTACACGAACCCAGCTCATGCATAGAACAGGTAGAAGCAGTATACAATGATAACATATATGCAAACTATGAAGCTGTTGGCCAGTTGGGGTCTTCATAATTAGTGCGGCATGGCAGAGCGAGACGGTGACGATCAGCTAACCTTGGTCACCTCATTCTATGAAGAGGTCTGGAACAAGGCTTTGGCTTTCTGCTTGATTTTTCACTATGTTTCAATCTATCTGGCTTTCTGGGAAATCCACCACAAACTGGAGAGCCTAACCTTCAAAATGCCCACAGGGCAAAGAGTGGCAACCTTTTTTAGGCGGGAACTCTACCGATTTGCATGGAACAAATCCCAAGTCCTGTGGCTAACGCATCATTTTTTCACATGTTTTGTATGTAAAACTACATATCATTGATATTTTTGGTTGTCTTTTGTGGCTAAAGTCCCCAGGTTCATCTCTCGTTCCCCAGGCGGACGACATAGCGCTGACTCGTCTGCTGGCGGAAGACTTGCGTTTCAAGGGCTCCACAGAGGTTGCGGTGCGCGAAGGACGTGAGGCTTTCAGGGACTATCGCGATCTGATTTTGTCAAGGCTTGCGAACTACAGATGTCGCATCCTGGATGTGACTGGGATGAGTTGGTTGAAGTATGATTTCATATTTTGTACCCTCGAGTAAATAAATATGAATAAACATAGGCCCTACCAGATAGATCAGATATGGGTGGGAGGATTAGTTTCCACTACAAATTGGTCATGTTCAGGCCAGGGTCTTCTTATTTTTTCCTGAGGGTAGTATATTAACATTGGTACATGTGTTTGATTAACTATACTTATATGATGAGTCTGGGCTGTTGAACTATTTGTCTTGTAGTATGTTTTGACGAGGTAGACTGTAGACCCAACGACTCAAAAGTAAACTCTCCCCGATCCGGGTTTGTTATTATATATTCCCCAATTTGGCGGGGATGATTAAAGGGTACCAGTTTACCACATTAAATTGTTTGAATATGTCGTTTAGTACCCTATAGAAGAGGTTAGACAATTAAGAAGAAAATAGTTAACTCCCCAAAAAGTTAACTAATTAGTTAACTTGGTTGTAAAAAGGTAAAAAATAGTTAGCAAATAGTTAAAATAAAGTTAACTAAATAGTTTAAAAAAAGTTTAAAAATAGTTAAAAAAAGTTAACTATTTTTTAACTATTTTTTAACTATTTTTTTAAACTATTTTTGGTCATTTTTTGAATATTTGTGAATTACTTTTTTGATATTTTGACTGATTCCTAAATTTATTTTTATTATTTTTGGGATATGGAATGTTGCGAACACTATGAGAGTGAGAGTCACTTAGAGATAATGTTTAATCACTTTTTGCTGGTGCAAGCTTGCAAACACTGTGAGGGTGAGAGCCCAGTTTAGAGACAGTAGTTGAAGTTTGATTTTGACATGGTGGAATGTTAGAGACACTATGAGAGTGAGAGTCACTTTGAGATAATGTTTAATCACTGTTGGGTGGTGCAAACTTGCAAACACTGGTAAGAGCCAGGTTTAGAGACAATAGTTGAAGTTTGATTTTGACATGGTGGAATGTGAGAGACACTATGAGAGTGAGAGTCACTTTGAGATAATGTTTAATCACTGTTGGGTGGTGCAAACTTGCAACCACTGGTGAGAGCCAGGTTTAGAGACAATAGTTGAAGTTTGATTTTGACATGGTGGAATGTGAGAGGCACTATGAGAGTGAGAGTCACTTTGAGAGAACACCTGGATAGGATGTTTTTTGTGCAATCTGGAACACACCACTGTTGCAAATTCAACAATGACTAGTGCTTTTTGGGCACAAACCCATGATTCAGCACAAGCCGCTTTGAGATCACAACATAGGAAAGCAAAGGCGCATAGAAACCAAAAAACACCCAGATCATGAACATATCATGACACACATAGACACCAACAAACACCCAGATCATGAACATATCATGACAAAAACCAATATATGTCATACTCAAACCACCTGTGACACTCACAACTCCCAAGTCATAAGCCACATATATTTACAATATCACATCTCACAGCATGGAAGACCCTCGCAAGCTGTATCTGCGAGGGCTGCCATATGGCGCGCCACAGTGGCAGGTGAGAGATTGGCTGTGGAGTGTGGGTGCAGCTCCACAGTCAATCTTCTTGCACTACAGTGACCCATCCAAGACTAGGTGCTCTGCCTATCTTCACTACACTGAGGATGCAAGGCATTTGGTGCCAGTCTTGGATGGGTCACTGTTTGGAGGCCTGAGGCTTCACTGCAGTGTGGCCAAGCCCAAGGCTGCAAGGTTTCTTGGCTGACACTGTTGAGGGAACACTTTGAGGGAGCACATGTGTTGAGAGGGGGGCACTTTGAGAGAAAGAGAAAGAGGGGTCACTTTGAGAGAGAGAGAGAGAAAGAGAGAAAGAGAGAAAGAGAGATGGAGATAGAGAGAGAGAGAGAGCACACCTCATTGAAATTACACACATGCCTGGACTGCTAAACCTGTATAAGGACCAGTGAGCATGGCCTGCAGTATCTTAGCTGTGAATTTGGGAACATTTTGCATAGCTGTGGCACCACCAAAAACTGGAATTGAAAATTTTGATGTTAAAAAAAATCTTTAACATGGCCAATTTCTCACAGCCCAGGACAGTTGCAAAGGCAAGCAGCCATGGCATTTTTTCTGCAGATCATGAGGCATCAAGGATGGGATCGATGCTTCTTGGCAACAACTAATTGGGTGGTGCGTGGTATCACCAAATATGGTGCTTAAATTTTTGAAATACAGCAACTAAAGTGCAAATAGCAGCATGCTTCATGGATTTGAACATGCACTTGGGGGGGGGTCCCATGACACAAACAGTTTCAAATGAGAGGCGACCACCTGAACCCAAAAATCCTCCTCCTTGGAGGGCCTCGACACTTGTCACTTTGGAGGGGGGACTGGGAGAACAATGTTGAGGGGCACTCTGGGTAACAATGTGTTGCTATTCTGAAAACATTAGACACTATAGGTGGGCATTTTTAAAGTTGAAAGCATTTTGAAGATTTTTGAAAGCATTTTGAGAGCATTTTGAGAGCATTTTGAGAGCATTTTGAGAGCATGTTAAGAGCATTTTGAGAGAATTTTGAAAGCATTTTGAAAGTTTTTTCAGAGCATTTTGAGAGCATTTGAGACCACTGTCAGAGGAAACATGGCACTTCTCAGCAATTTCATGTTTTCAGGTCTGAATCTGCATCTTCAATGCCTAGTACCCCTGCACCGACCTCTGTTGTGCCTTCAGCTGCTGCTCATGAGAAGACTCTGACTCTTGGATTAAATTTGGTTGCATTTTTTTCAACTTGAATGGTGTTGAATTCCCCCCTACACCCAAAACATGTTTAATATTCCACCTTTTCTCACTCTCAGGCAACCTGATCTTCCCTCCACTGCAACACCGCCCCCTGCTAGAGCCAGCACTATGGAGAGTCTTGGATTTGTTTTGGTATTTTTTGGAAAAGATTGATGTGGTTATGTCAATGTACCAAAAAAAGATTGTCTAATTTCTATAGCCCATCATTCCTTCTCCTTAGGCAGCCTGATCTTCCCTCCACTGCAACACCGCCCCCTGCAAGAGAGAGCAATGTGGAGATTCTTGGATTTGCTTGTGGCATTTTTTTGAGAAAACATGATGTGGGTATGTCAGTGTTCCAAAAAAAAATGTCAAATTTCTAAAGCCCATCATTCCTTCTCCTTAGGCAGCCTGATCTTTCATCCACTGCAACACCGACCCCTGCAAGGGACAGCACTGTGGAGATTCTTGGATTTGTTTTTGGCATTTTTTTTGGAAAACATGATGTGGGTATGTCAGTGTTCCAAAAAAAAAATGTCAAATTTCTAAAGCCCATCATTCCTTCCCCTTAGGCAGCCTGATCTTGCATCCGACGCTGCAGCGACACAAAGCTGAATTTAGAGCTCCAACACCTCTAGATGCACATTCTACATGAGATTTCAATACATATGTATGTATATAATATTATATATCTATACATGGTATAATATAATACATCTATAACATAATGTATATATAATGTACCTTATATGTATATATACATTATGTATAAACATACAAATGCATGTGAATTTTTAAATGGAACTATTGGTTGAGTGCTGCTGTAGTGAAACACTTTGAGAGCCACCTGAGTGAACACTTTGAGAGGGACTCATTTTGAGAGACATTATTTTTCAGAGCCTATCCTTTTTCAAGGAATGATGATCCAGAATATGATCCCTTTGGGCCATATGAAAGGTGTGGTTGGGCTGTTTGATGAAACTGGTTCCTGGTTTTGTTACCTTGCACCAAGCAGTCTAATTTCAGGCCAATCTTGTCCCTGGCAAGGCCCCCTAGAACCAGAGAGGATGAGTACAATGATGCCCCACCTCATGAGTTGTGGCGTGGCAAGATTTGGATAAGGTCTGGTGCATTGAATATAGCTACTTTGGGGGACACACTTTGAGAGATACACTTTGAGGGTCATGTTTTTGAATTGTGATGGTCATGTTTTGAATTTTTAGGGACATACTTTGAGAATTTTTGAGAGATACAGTAATGCTTTGAGAGATACACTTTGAGGGTCATGTTTTTGAAGGTCATGTTTTTGAATTTTGAATTTTGAGGGTCATGTTTTTGAATTGTGAGAGACATACTTTGAGAGATACAGTTTGAGGGTCATGTTTTTGAGGGTCATGTTTTTGAATTTTGAATTTTGATGGTCATGTTTTTGAATTTTAAGAGACATACTTTGAGAGATACACTTTGAGGGTAAAGTAAAGATGTTTGTACAGGCATTGAAGGACACACTATGGGAGTACATGTGCCATGTTCCTTTTTTCCACTGTGAAAGAAACACTGCTTGAGTGAGGGAAACACATTAGCATGAAACAACATCTAAACCTAAGGAATGCGTCGCAGTTTGCCTATGATCTTCCATTGACAATGGAAGAAGGTAGTGTTTTTGCCAGGAGGTTGATGGGTGCTATCAGGGCTGGATATGAAGTGGGGAATATCCCCATCCAGCTCCTGCACACACACCGCACTGTGCCTTCTGCCAGTTGCCACTGTTGGAATTGCAGAATAGCAATTCGACATAGGATCATGTGTTGCTGCCCAGGCTGTGTGATTGCTGAGCTGCTGTGAGGTGTAAAAAAAGTGAGACTAAGTGGCCTTGGGATCACTTTGAGAGAGAGAGAGAGAGAATGGAGAGAGAGAGAGAGAGATATGGAGAGAAAAAGAGGTGGAGGAGAGAGAGGGTTCACCTTGAGGCTTTGAGAGGTACAAGGACTATACTTTACATGTTTCATGGTTCATTTTTGGGGAAAATAACATCATTGAAAACAAATAGCAAGCACTTTGAGAGCCCCAGCACTTAGAGACACCTATAAGTCACTGTGATAGACCCCAATCACCTTGAGAGACCAAGTGCATGCACTTTGAGAGCCCCAACTCTTAGAGACACCTACAAGTCACTGTGAGAGACCCCAATCACCTTGAGAGACCAAGTGCATGCACTTTGAGAGACCCACATCCACTGACAAGTTTGTTCTTGGGAAACCAACTTCATTTTGAAAGGGACACTGTCATTTGTAGGAGCCCCAACTGTAAGAGACCCACCCCATGCACTTTGAGTGACCCCCTGCATGCACTTTGAGGAACCCATTGCATTCTGATGGGTATCAAATTTTGATTGGCACACTGCTCACTGCATTGTTAAGATGCTACTGAAAGGATTGTGGCTCCTAGGCTGGCAAAACACCAAAAAATGTTGGGCTGACAAGCCCTGCTGTGTTTCAGTGCCATGGGCAGACTGGTGCCTGACCCATCAGTCGCAGTGTGTGATTTGCAGCAGGTGATCACACAATTTTGCAAGGAAAGTGGAAGCAATGACATTCACACCTTACTGGCACCAGTGCAATCTAGAAAGGTTTCATGGAAAACAGCACCTGACCCAGAGTGGCTGCACCAAATGAGCCCTTTTTTCGTCAAACTGGTACCTGTTGCAAAGAACCTGGTGATTTCATCAAAGAAGCTCAAGTCGGCCATGGTCAAGGTTCGGTGCCTAGTCATTTAACATAACACTTTTCTTTTGTTTATTGTGCTTCTTTTTGTGTGTGCCTGCCCCTGTGCCCATCAGCCTGAAGGTCCACTGGGCAAAGGCTCAGCTATACAAAGATGATGGATGACACTTTTTTTGACCACATGGACCAGTTGATTCGTATAGGTGCAGCCCAGATCAGAACACTCAAGGTCAACCAGTGTGATTGGCTAAGAGTTGCCAAGAAATCTAGCAAAGAAGAAAAGGAGGCAATTCAAGAAATCTTGCAACTGGTTTGTGTGGAACCTTGTTCAAAAATGAAACCCTTTTTAAAGCTTTTTCATGCTAGCAATGTCTTTGTTTTCTATTGTGTATCTGTATACTCATTCATTTAATGATGTGATAGTACCCCATGACGTATTTCACTACCACCTGAGGACCAAAAAAGATGAGGAGATGACAAAGGACACTGATTCCCCAAGACCACCCCCTACAATGGCAAAGGCAGAACCAGAGCCAAGCAGCAGCTCCACTGGTGATTATGGAAGCCCTGGTAAGGACATCCTTGGGTTACCAAGCAACTTTTTCAAACAATTTCACAGCCCAGAAAAAAAACAAGACACATCAAGCTGCACAGACATGGTACTGCATGAAAAGAGCAAGCCAATCTACAAAAGAAGCATGGCTAAAAGCAACTTGGCTTTGGATGAAAGGGCAGACACCAGTAGACCCACCTTGAGGAGACAGTTGGCAAAGAACAATTTTGATTTGGACACCCAGGATTTGCAAACACTTGCAATGGCATTAGAAAGCAAGTACCAGAAGGACAATGAGAAAGCACCTGGTGAAACACCATCAACACCCAAGAAAAAAAAGAATGGCAAAGCAAAGGCCAAAAGTAAATCAAAGGCTCATGCAAAGCCTGCCCCCAAGAGCAAAAGCAAAGGAAAAGCCAAGAAACAAAAAACTTCCAAGAAGACATCCCCTGGCAATTCAAAACAACATTTCGCCACAGGAAGACGAGCAATGCATACCATTTGGCCAAAAACATGGCTCTGAGGGCTGGCATTAGCCCAGAGAGTGCCAGGATCAAAGGCAAAGCTGCAAGTGCCAAGGTTGTGCAACAGATTGAACTTGGAACTCTCAAAGAGGGTTAGAAACTAGAAGGCAAACTTGCTTCTTGACCCAGGCTACCAGCAAAGGGGAAAAGAAGTGTGTGGTTCTCATTGTTTCACTTTTGAATGCACTTCATCACCTATATTTCTTGAGATGTACCCTTGAGTATCTAAATAGTATCACACTTGAGAACACTGAGAGTGTAACACTTTGAGAGTACCACTTATGGTTTACACCTGAGCATTTGTACTTGACACTAGTGAGGGCACTGGGGTTGAACTAAGCACTTGCATCTTTTACTCTAATTGACTTGATATCACTTGCAAGATTTGCAGGTTCAAGGGCACTACAGGTGCAATATGTTGAAGTTTTTAGACAGGTTGGCTGCCAATGCCACCAGTACTAAATGGACTTGGCGAAATGGTGCCTTGTGGCATGTGACCACTTACCAACCCAATGGGTGGGAAGAATTGAAAACTTTTGATGAAGTTGCAAGGGACTGGTACTGGACCACTGATGCTGACAAGAACTTGTTGAAGGATTGTTTTTTGCAAAGCAATGACTGTTTAGAGAAGTGATTGACATCATTGTTTGTCTTCCTAGCTGGTGTTTCACCATGTGGCAGGAAAAGATCACCCAGCTTCACATGGCAGAGCCACTGGGCAGTTTGTTTTTTAAAAATCTAAGAATGTAATGTGAAGTGATTGACCCATAAATACCATCCTTTTTTTATCCCAGTCATGATTCATCCTGGCACTCAGGGGGTTTGCAAACCGCTCCTCCAGAAGCTCCAGCTGATGGTCTGTGAACTTGCTGCATTTGCAATGTGTAAACTTCCAATGCCTTGAAACTGATTAAAGTGAAAGTGGTGTTTGGAATCTAAAAGTGGCAGGGTCATACAGTGCCATACTTAATGCACAATCTACACCTTGACAGCCAAGGTAGCAGACTTCTGGCCATGAAGAACTTTCAACTAGCCTGCTGAAAACAGATTGCATCTACTGCATGGTTTCAACTTGGGTCACCTTGTACATTTTGAGAGTAACACATTGGAGGGTCACACCTTGAGTCAATTGGCAGGGCACTTGGGAGGGCACTTGCAAACTAGCAGAATGCACTTTGAGTGAGAGAGAGAGAGAGGGAGATGGGTGAGAGATGCACTGCACTTTGGAGGGATAATCAGGAATTTGTTTTCTATTTGGTCAAATGTGTGTGGAAAAAAACAAAAATACAATTGTTGCCAAACTCTAGATGTAGAAGTTTGCTAGTAGTTTGATAGAAGTTTCTATCAAACTTCTATGGTCATACTAGAAGTTTCATTGAAACTACTACCAAACTTCTACTTGTGTAGTAGTTTGATAGAAGTTTCTATGGTACTGTAGAAGTTTACTAGAAACTTCTACCAAAGTACTATCAAACTTCTACCATGCAATTTATTTTTTGGTTGTATTTTCAAGTTTTTTGGTACAAAAATATCAATTTTCCTGTCCAAAATATGTTTTCTTTTTGGCACACCATGCAAATTGTTTGCATTTTCTTCAAACATGGGCAATGTTTCTGTTGATGTAATCTGTTTATATGGGCTGTTGTTTTATGAAAGAACCCATCACCATGGTTTGGGATACATATATAAGTATAAGTATATATCTATATGTTTATACACATCATTTTCTGCATGGCACAAAACCAGGATTGAATTTTCCTTTCTGTGTGATGTCCACATGGTTCGCCAAAAATGTAATATTCATCAATGTAATGTGTTATATATTGTGTGTTGTGCTTTGTTTTGTGGACATCACCCCATCATCTTCTGTGTGAAGATTTAGTCTCACACCTTTTGCAGATGAAAAGACCAGCCATGTCAGCATCCCCTACACAAGAGGCAGTGGCTGAAACAGGTGGTGCTTTGATGGCTCCAGAGCCACCAAAGACTCCTGAGAGGAAGGCATCAGAGAAGGCAACACAGGCAGCCACACCCAAGTCAGCTGCCACGGCCACACCCAAGTCAACTGCCAAGGCCCCCCACACCCCACCCAAACCATCAAAAGCGCTCAAGAGACCAGCAGCCAGTGGCAAGGCCAAAGCAAAGGCAAAGTCTAGCCCTAGGGTGCAGAAAAAATCCAAGACAACAGCGGTTGCAAAGTCAGGCCCCAAAGCAAAACCCAAAGCAGCTAGTAGCAACAATGCAAAGAAGGAAGAAGATGAGAAAGATGAGAAGGACAAGAAAGATCCCCAAAAGAAGAAAGGAAAGGAAAGTTTGAAGGAACAAGCATCGAAATGGGTTTCAAACTTGGACAAGCCTTCAGAGGATGAGGAGGATCAGGATGCAAGCAAGGCACCTACAGAAGAGAGGGACAGGCAGAAAGCACAGAAATTTCGAAAGCTTGAGAAAGCAGGTGCATTGCCTGCAGAAGTCCAGGAAGCTTTTGATGCAGCTGAGAAAAGTTCTAACCCCAGAGCCAACAAAACACAGCTCATCAACAGCCTGTTCAGAAAGGAAGGTAATAACTTTGTGATGGTTCCCAAGGACCCTGCCTTCAAAAGGGTTCAAAAGCTGTTGGATGTGAAGTATGGGAAGGAAGAGTCTCAAAGTTACTTGGATGCAACTGTACAACTTACAAGGTACATTACATTACATTACAGGCATACAGACATACATACATACAGGCATACATACAAACATACATACATACACACACATACACACATACACACATACATACATACATACATACATTACAAACATTACAAACATTACAAACATTACATACATTACATACATTACATGCATTACATGCATTTCATACATTACATACATTACATACCTTACATACCTTACATACCTTACATGCATTACATGCATTACATGCATTACATATCATTACATACATTACATACATTACATACCTTACATACCTTACATACATTACATACATTACATACATTAGATACATTAGATACATTAGATACATTAGATACACTAGATACACTAGATACACTAGATACACTAGATACATTAGATACATTAGATACACTAGATACATTACATACATTACATACATTACATACATTACATACATACATACATACATACATACCTACATACCTACATACCTACATACCTACATACCTACATACCTACATACCTACCTACCTACCTACATACATACATACATACATACACACACACATCCATGCATGCATACATGCATACATACACACATACACACACATACATACATACATACATACATACACACATACAAACATCAAAACATCCATGCATGCATACATACACACATACATGCATAACTACATACATGCATACATGCATACATGCATACATGCATACATGCATGACATACATGACATACATGACATAGAGACATACAGATATACAAACAGACATACATACAAACATGCAGACATACATGCATACAGACATACATGCATACAAGCATACAGGCATACAACCATACAGACATACAAACATAAAGGCATAAATGCATGCACACATACAGGCATACAGACATACAGGCACACAGACATACATACATTACATACATTACATACATAGCATACATTGCATACATTACATACATTACATACATTACATACACTACATGCATGCATGCATGCATGCATGCATGCATGCATACATACATTTTGACATACATCTATGTGTGTAAATAAATTGATACTATTTTGTTTATGACATATGTTTAAATAAACATGTGTGAATAAATACATAGGTACATGTGTGATGACATGTTTTAGGAACCACATGGGGATGATGGAGGCACATGTGACACTTGCAGGCTATCATGTTGACAGCCACTTTGGGTATCATTTTGGAAGCATTACATTTTTCAACACAACCTTGCAATTCATACACCTGGGCCTGCCTGGGCATAACAGCCACTTTGACAAAGCTGCTGAAAGCATTCACCCTGTTGTGATTGATGCCCTAGTTCAGGCTTCCCCTGGTCCATCATGCTCTATGACAAGTTTGGTGGCAACCAAACCGCACTAGAAAATGCCTTGCAGTGTGGTGATGTTGTTGTTACCAACCACAAGGGAAAGGAGTTCTATAGCTACAACACTTTGAAGTCAGGCAGGATGAAGAGTTTGGGTGATGAAAGCGAGCTGAATGATGGCCAGCACAGCTTGGATGAGAGCTCTCACCAAGTCATCACTGATTGGTTCAAAAATATGAATGTTGGTGCTCTGAAACCAATAGAGGAGTCAAAAGAAGAAGCAGGAGATGGCCTTGTGATTTTTGCAAAGCCAAAGGCTCAGGAAATTGACTGGGGCCATGTTGAGAAGGTCTTGCAGTCAGCAAAGACTGCACAGGAAAAGCTGACCAGGGATGCCATGAAGCTGAAGGAATGTGTTTTGAGGGCACAGGATCAAGACTTGCTTGAAGTCTTCAAAGGCAGCCTCAAAGATTTGCAGGACAATGACAAGAATTTGGACCACATCTTACTGTGGAAGGCTCTGGTGGCTTAGTGTGGGTGCCACTGTGAGAGCTATACTTTGAGAGCATTTGGGGATTTGCACTTTCAAGAGTGGAATTTTGGAGGAAGAGTAGTGGACACTTTGAGGGGTACACTTTGATGCCTCTTGGAAATCTTGGGGCACTTTGAGAGAAAGCATTGAAGGAATATTTGGAAACATTTTTGGAAACAGTGTTTTTCATACCACCTTTTCCCAGTTGCAAGAAAGCACCATTTCAAATAGTTTTTGTTGTTTAGACCAGATTTTTGAATACCATCTAGCATGTTTCAAACCAAAAAACATGATGTATTTCTTCCAGCTGTGCTAGGAGTTGCCTGATCACACAAAATGGGATTTGGAGAGTGGAAAAGCATGGATGACCGCCTTGGCCAAGCAAACCCAGAAAGCCAATGAAAAGATTGAAGGAGTGAGAACAACTCTCAAGGTGAGGGGTATGCTTGAAGTCCAGAAACCTGTGACATGAAATTCCCTGAAGTCCCAAAACATGTTGAAAGTTAAAATGTAAGTAGTGACCTGCTTTACATGAAATGAAACTGTAATAGTTCAACTGTTCCTTTTGAATGGGTTGCAATTTTGACTTTTTGTGTGCAGCCCTGGGCATATCACAGAATCTGGCAGCTTCATGAAGAGCATTTTGCTCTGCTGACAAGGGTGTCGCAGCAAGAGATGGCAAGACTCAAAAAAAATATTTTGGCTTGGGTTTGGGAACTTGGTTGCACTTGCATGTGAATTGAGAATGTGGTTTGAAACATGCTTTGGGTAAGGTTGATTCCTGGAAGTTTGTGGCACTAGATTGGTTATGTGTGCACTGTAGAGTAGGGCTTAGGATTCACCTTCAAACTTGTTGGGTATCAAATTGAAGACTCACCCTGAAAGAAACATGCCTTTTTGGAGAAAATGCATTTTGGGAATTGGGGAAGCTTGAGTTTGTCACTTGCAGAATTCATTGATGTTACTTTGAGAGACACACTTGTGAAAACCACTTTGAGAGACACACTTTTGAGAAGCACTTTGAGAGACACACTTGTGAAAACCACTTTGAGAAACACTTTGAGAGACACACTGGTGAAAACCACTTTGAGAGACACACTTGTGAGAGCCACTTTGAGAGACACACTTGTGAGAGCCACTGTGTGGGCAATGTTGAAATTCAGATACCACATGTTCAACCACCCCTTTGGTTCTCATTTTTCCTTCCCACCTCTTAGTTTGCCAAACTTGCCACCGAGTGCTATTGCAAGTGCCCAAAGCAAGTTTCAAATGCTGTCCAAAAGCCCTCAAGTGCACTCAGGTGCCCTCAGCTTACATTCAAATCCATCAGATCAAGTGCCCACAAGTGCCCACAAGTGCCCACAAGTGCCCACAAACACCCACAACTTCCACAAGTGCCCAATCCCAACAGTGCTGCTTTTTTGGTGCCATGAGAGATTGCAAAACATCACCAGGACAAAGTTGAAACATTTGTAATTTGGACTTGCCAGTGATGGATAATGAAGGTGACTCCATGCCACCTGCCAAAAGCAGGCGCCTTGGTCAAAGGAAAAGGCTGGCTTTGGACCAAAGCCAGTCAGAAGCCAAAACAACCAGTGAGTTGGCCAGCTTCTTGGTTGAACAATGGGCCCGGGGCCACATCAGCCCCCAAATGGTGCAGCGAGTGGCAAGCAAAGCTTGCGCAGACATGAAGCATGCTGCACCTACACCTTTGCAGAGCTTGGCAAAGTTGGGTGGTGGGTATGCCAACTTGATGTCAGCTGCCTTGATAGCCAGCCAGAAAAGCAAGTTGCCTGACCCCTTTGTAATCCAACTTCCTTACAAAAAGGGAAACCACATGCAGAAGTTCCTCTTACCCCACGAAGTCTTTGCCAGCATCTTTGACAACTATTATGAAACCTTCCAGAATGTCCTGGTGGGCCCCCTGGTTACCTCCAAGATTTTTGGAGAACAGCCAAGCAACACCCCTGCATGAGTTTGCACCCAGCAGTGGCTGACACATCAAAGCAAATCCCAATAGGGATGCATGGCGATGGTGTCCCTATTACTGGAAAGGGCAAAATATGGTGTAGAAGTGCTTGGGTATATTCTTGGGCTTCATTGCTATCACAGGCACCTACCAAGGACAAGCAATTCTACATTGGAATGGTTTGGGATACATTGCAGGGGAAAAAACAATGGACACTTTCTTGGCATTGGTTTCCTGGTCCATAAAATACTTACAGCTTGGTATTTGGCCTATGGAAGATTGGCAAGGGAAAGAGTTTCTGGGCTGGTAAATGACATATATATTTCCACATTTTCCACACAACTTGAATTTTTCTTTTGCACAAGATGCTATGTTGTTCCCTTCTTTGCACAGCCCAAGGTACCCCCAGGGAAGTTTGGGATATAAAAGAAGAGGAAAGCCACTAGCAGGTGGCTGGTCTGCCATCCTGTTCACTTTGCAGGGTGACATGGATTATTTTGCAAGTGTCCTTAAACTACCCAAATGGCAAACCAAGAAGAAGTGCTGTGTCCTTTGCCAAGCTGATGCTGAAGGGCTTAACTCCTGGAAAAACTTTGGCCCTTTTGCCCCTTGGGTTTCTACATGCTGGACATCACAGAGCTGGCACCTGTTTCCTGGCAAGAGCCCTTGCAAGCTGTTCAGTGATATCCCAGGGGCATCAGCAGTGATGTGCTCACTTGACTTTATGCACAACAAGTATTTAGGGGTTGACATGTATATCTTTGGAAGCTGCCTGCACTTGGACACATTTCAGCAATGTTTTGCTTTTGGCTTGCTTTTGCCAGCATTCCTACACCCATGACCCATGGCACCCCCATGCGCACACACACACAATCACTTTGGTAAACAGCTTTGAGCAAACACTTTGAGAAAGCATTCTGAAAGCTCACTTTGAGGTAACATTTTGAGAGAGCAGTTTGAGAGGCGGTTTTTGAGAGAGCTTGTGTTTAATGCTGTTGTTCTGGAAACCATATTGTGAAGATTATGTTGAACAATTTTTCCCCTTAGGAAGTTGGTTTTGACACCCCAAGCATAATTGTGTTACATCCATGAAACACACCAGGTATTTGTTGGTCTACCACATGATGAGCCATGGATCTCCACTTGAGAATTTGAAGGTCTTGGAAGCTTGGGTTTTGGAGTTTTACCGCCAATACCCCACTACCAGCAAATTCAGGCACATGTCCAAGCTCACCATGTTCATGAGAAAACAAGGGGGGCCCAAATTGAGGGGTAAGGCTATTGAAATTAGAAGCTTTGGGCCTGTGATTTTGTCCTTATGGGAAAGCCATTGCAACCGCAATGTCACCATGCAGAAGAACATCTTGGTCTTATTGAAATTGAACCAGAAGGTGGATGCAATGCTTGAGGAGCACAAGGGCGAACTTTCTTTCCCAGAGCATGCTGCCCAAGAATTCACAAAAGTGATTTTCAACATGGGCCACTTGCAGCTTCTTTTAGAAAACCATTATCGAAATGAAGAAGGCATTCCTCATCTTTTCACTTCCACATGCAAATTGCATGGCCTTGCACATTCTGCTCTATTGAGCAAGTATGTTTCACCCAGGTTAGTCTGGTGTTTCACTGGAGAAGATTACATGCACCATATCCAACAGCTAGCTCACTCATGCTTGGCTGGCACTGGGCCTTTCCTCACAGTGAACAAAGTTGCTGATAAGATGAGGATGGCTCTGCATGTACAGTTCACCAAAGGTGCTTACTGACATGATGCCACATGATGTCGAAACAGGTTGGCAGCACAAAAGCTTGGAAATTCCAAGAACTTAAGTTTGAGTTTGATAGAAACAACTACCACTACCACTGTGAAAAAGGTTTGTGTTGTCACGGTCTAAAATCTTCAGGTGCTTCACTTTGAGAGCCATTTTGAGAGACCCAACCACTTTGAGAGATTCATGCCTTTTCTTTAAATATCATTTTTTACAGCCACATATTGTGAGGGGCAATCTTCTTTGAGAGACCACAGACTTTGAGAGGCCCATTCTTATTTTGAAGGAACCCACACATTTTTGAGATGCACTCACTTTGAGAAGTCAGTGAAAAAACACTTTTGATATTGTCTGTGAAGTCATTAGAGACCAAGGTGCTCAAAATCAAAAAATAACAATTTGCACAAAACCATGGTTTCTTTCACACAATGCAAGGTATAGTAATCAGTTTGTTTAAAAAATAGCTTCGAAACATGAAATATATGTTCAAAACAAGCTGGCCTTGAATTAGCTCAGAAATAGGGGAAAGTGTTTTTCTTTAACATTATTTTTAAAACTATTTTTTTAACTATTTTTTTACTATTTTTAGAACTACTTTTTTTAACTATTTTTTAACTAAGACAAAAACAACTTAACTAATTAGTCAACTTTTTTTTTTGCCTAAAAACATCGACTTAACTATTTTTCAGAATTAACTATTTCCTTCTTAATTGTCTAACCTCTTCTATAGGGTATAGTCATCTTCGATCAGCATGATGGCATGCGCCAACCGACTTCCATGATTTTGGGATGGGGTATCCTTTTTTCGTGATTTCGACCTCTTACGGTCCCATGCAGCCATAGCGTTGGTTTTTCCAGGCTTGGCTTGGTGGTTGGAAATCGGCAATCGCCCAGGTTTTTCAATGAGTTGCCATCCAAAGAGAATTCGTATAGGATTCAACACCTCCACTGCCCAGCTGAGGTGACGTTTGCAGATCGTAGGACCTCCATTTCTTTTGACGATGGCTCCTTCGGCCCCAGCGTGGGAACCGGAACGCCGCACTGTGTGGCTCGGGTGCAGTTTTCGGGGGCACATGTGGCGCCCTTCCAAGCGCCGCCGTTGAACACCTTAGATGCCACGGGGACGGAGCTATCGTGGCTGGGTGTGGCCTATTTCTTTTTCAATGATGAGACACCACGCAAGATCCAAGCCTTGTGGGTCATGGGAGATGTAGCCACCATCTATGCGCAGTTAAGCGCCACTACAAGCACCAAGTTGGTATCAACAACTTAGTGAAAGATGTGGACGTGTATTGCTGTGAGTGTCAGAGCCTATGCCTACAGGATAAGCAGGACATGTAGACGACTACCCTCATCTCCCACTTCATGTGGTTGCTCTGGAACTTGCGCCAATTAGGGCTCGGGAAGGATCACTGACCTGCTGCTATCGTTTTCGGACAGTTGGGGATGCACCATGGTGCTGGCATGGTCATGGGCATCCAAGGGTGCCACCCCACCAAGGGGTTCAAAACGCCTTAAAAAGGCCGACTGTGTACAAGTTCTGATCTTTCGATGTGGGAAGATGATCCCTAACCTCACTTGGAAAAACATCTCAAACAAAAAACCTTGGGCCATTTAATATCCCAATAAATGGTATATCCCATTAATGGCACCCCAAGGGCCAAACTTGGACCCCAAGACGAGGTTTCGAGAAATCGAACATTAAACGCTGACGCTGATGGCAGGTGGACTCTGGGGACGGAAACCCGGAGCGTTCCAAGAACGTGCCTTGGATTGAAGCTTTGAGGACGCTGGGGGTGACCTGTTTGGTTTCTGGATGTTTCCTGGAAGAACGTGTGTCAAAAGATCGAACTGGACAAACATGGGGCAGACGCATTGATGGAAAGGTGATGCCCCCTCGTCATAAGTTGGTTTATGAACCCACTAAGGAGAGTTACAATTACCATACGCTCTTGCCTGAGCTATTTACAAACCAAATTGCTGTAGTTAGGGGGTCCCGCCTTGTAGGGAAAATGAAACCATGTTTTGGGGGTCCCAATTTTTGAGATGAAGCCATATCCGAGAGAAATGGGGGGTTTGATGGAGAGGGATGTGGGGATATGAGGAACAAAAAAGGATAAACAAGCGGATGACAATGGACAGAGAGAGAAAGAGAAGTGGATGATGATGATGATGATCATGATGATGATGATGATGATGTTGATGTTGGGGTTCAGGGTTTGTGCGTTCAAGTCTGGTTCATATCCTTCTTTGCAACCCTGGGAAGAACATGCATTCGGGGGCCCCGGCATCAATCCATGCAGAGGCGTTGGAAGAGGTGCAGACGGGCTGCAACCTGGGCTTGGGAATGATGAGTTTGAACTTATCGGCATTTGGGTAAACTAGTACCATTATGACTTCAACCCTATAGATTATATAATAATTTAATGCGTGCATACATACATATACGTATATATATAAATACATATAGTTTTCATTTTTTGTTACGTATAATGTGTATATATATATACATATATCATCATTTTAGAATGATCTTGATATTCCAAAAGTTGCTTGGGAAAACTTGCAGGAACAAACGGCTTTTTCTACCCCCATAGTTGCATATAGTTGCCATAGGTATCCATACCTGATGATCAAACCCATTGGTTTCAACCGCCGCTTTCCCGCAGATCGGCCTGTCACGACAGGAAAGCACCGCCTGTCACGGCAGCGAGATCTTCGACGACAGTGGCGACAGTGCGTCGGGGGAACTTAGCGCAGGGGCAGCGGTGAAACATGCTGTTGTTTTCAGCATCAAATCTTAGGGATGTGATGTGGCCCTCCACAGTTATAAGTTGGTTTATAAACCCCAGTTTACTATAGATATATCTACCATGAAGCATAGTTAACCTAGTTATAAACCAACTTAGCTATCGTTTGGGGGGGGACCTCCTTGATATTTCATGGGGATGATGTAGGATATGATGGGGATACCATGGCGGTTTTAATCTGATTTAATGGGGATTTGCTCAACGACCCCCCCCAAACGGTATGTGTTTGAAACATAATGAGCTAGATCAAATGCTCCATGTATGTGATATTTACCACCATTTACCACCATTTATCTCCCAAATTGCACAAACTATAAAAATGTACATAAATAATACACCATGCATGGAGCATTTGGATAGGCTAGCAGTTGGATTTATGGTGGAGATTAATTTATTTTGGATTAAAGTAAACTGGGGATATGCGGCTTGG